CCATTCTGTCTCCACGCCCCGCATTTTGGTCTCCACTTGTTGTTTTAATTTTTTGTTTAAATTTATTAGTAGTATGGTAAATGGATAGGTTTAGACAAAAATAATTAAACAATTCTGATTTATATTTTTAATTAAAAGCCAATTTATCTATTCTTTTTTTCGTAATTATACATTAACTTTTATGTTTAAGATAAATCTAAAAAACTAAATATATAAGTTTTAATCTCTAGATTAAAACAGAATAACTACTCCCGTATGAACTATATTGCAGGTCATTTGAACTAATTGTTCGTTTGAACTATACTGCAGATCTGCACGTGCATTCACTTGAGTATACTTGAAACAAACAATTGTTCAAACTCGAGTTTATTCTAGCTCATTTTAACTTTTTTTGTTCATTTAAAGTATACATCATAGTTCAAATAACCTTTAAAAATAGTTCAAATGAACGTAAAAATATATAGTTAAAAAAGGTACCAAAAAACAGCTCATATGAACCAAAAAATTTAACTTTTTTAGTTCATTTGCACTATTTTTTTTGTTCATTTGAACTATTTTTGGTTCATTTGAATTATGTTTTGGTTTAAGTTTGAACTTTTTTATTTTCGTGTACGCAACAGCTGCCCCTACTGAACTTCTGACCTACGTAATTTTCCGCCTACTGCAATACGGACCTACACCAGCTGTTTAGTTGTATATTTTCAGGGTTAGGTTGTCAAGTTTCTGGGGCCAAGCGCTGCGGCTAGGACAGGTTAGGGGCCGCCGAGCGCCGCGGCTAGGACAGGCTAGGGGGCCGGGCGCTGCGGCCACAAGTCCATATAGGAGCTGTAAAAGCACGAGCTACTAGGTCGGATGTATATGTATAGGCTAGCGGATTTGGCGTAGGTCAGAAGTGGAGTATAGCGGATTTGCGTTTGTCGAAAAATACACCATCCTTCTAATTATATGATTCTTCTGTTTTCTTTATGAAGACGATCTAAAGGTTTCCATTATTTCCAAACATATTTCCGCGGCACTGCTCAACTTTAAATATGTCTGTGCACTCAGCAACGAAAACAGAAAGACAGAACTATTCTGTCTCTAAACTCAATTATGTGAAAGGAAACCACAGATATTAATGAAATTTATATTATTTAGATCTTGTTCTTTATATTTTTATATTTTAAATATGCTTCACCTTGCAATTTGCCGTGTATTTTTAAGGTGGAAACTGCGGCACTGTGAAAGGTTTCTAAAAACTAAATTATTATTTCATCCAATGATTAAAATCAGTTAAGAAACTGGTATATTCCATTTGATTTTGATTACTTTCAAAATCGGGAGGGAGGGGAGAAGGTGCTGCACAATACCAGTTTTAAAATATTTTACCGTCCAAGCAATATTAAACTAAACTCGGTTGATAGAAGGAGGGGTGGGGTGGGAGGGCCAAATTTACCAGTTTCTTACCTAAGACGGACCCATGAAACTTTCTGCCGAGCGCTGCGGCCACACGTTCAACATTTCAAGTACATTTTTATGGAAAGGAGGGGGTCAAAAAATCCCACTATAGGAAATTACTTGGGGGAATAATTTCCTAGAGAACGATATTTGGACCCAACACCGCCCCCCCCCTTACCAATTTTGTACACACAGCTCATTTTTAAACATTATTGTTGATATCGGTAGATCCCTGTTTTTCTGAAAACCAGATTGCCCTGCAATGTCTTGCAGTACACCACAGAGCCTATTGTTCTGTACATCAGGTACGGTTTCAGCAGTATACGGTCCAGAAATTAACTCAACCCTATAGTAAAAATTAATTTTAATGTTGAAAATTTATGTAATAGAAGTCATTGGCACTATTATTAGAAGGGGGGCTAAAAGCTTAGGCCAGGACAGGGCCTATGCTTTTTTGTGGTTCCTTGACCATTAGTTAAACTTTTTAAATATGATAATTTATAAAGAATTGGTGTATAAGTTCACCATAATGTCGTAAATGTAATTAAAAGGATTTTATGGAACAAATTTAGATTACGTATTCAGGAGAACTACAGAGTATGTCGGGACTTCTGGAAAAAGGAACAAGAGGAAAGTAAAGTGTAGACAAGGAAATAAAAAAGATTGTGAAAGACCGTCAAGTGTCAATGCTAACGTGATTTAAATTAACCTTCCACTGTAAGACTAACAACTGTGCCCTTTACATAAAATTTTCCCTTTTGGTTTATACAACAAAAGCTTGTTTGGAAATGGCTGAAATTGGTCTCATTCCTGACAAAACTTAATTCCTGCCATTGTTAAATAGACTTAGGTCACTGTTTGTGCATATCACATTTTAGTCAAGGTAATTTGATTGATAATCCAATTATGTTTTTATGACATAGGGATATACCAATTGACTATTTCTGGACTCCATAATGGAAATATATACGCGAGAAAAATTTTCTCTTGACGAGTCGAGAAAAATGTTACGATTTTGGGTGATTGATTCGAGTTACGAGAAACTAATTTCCATTTACGATTTACTGTAATAAAGGGTTGCGCCCCCCCCCCCTTATTTAATAAGGGATTGTAAGATTTCTGAAACAATTTGAAATTTCCCATGTTGGTTTGAAATAGAGAAGAAGAAAAAGAGGAGAAACCCCGTATCTTCCACCGCCGGCGGAAAGAGAAGAAATACTCAGAATACATCGACAAAACTCTAAATAGAGTTAAGGAAGGAAACGAAAAGTCCTAATCTTGATTCAAACTGGCAAGATTGAATCTCTATATGCGTAAAAATATAAAAATATGCTTACTTATATTTGAAAATTTTGTTGATTCAGAGCAAAGCAGTAAAAAATGTATTATTACCTATACAATTTTCAATACATTTAAGAAATAAGACTACTGTAAAACGCGATTTTCTCCTCTGAAAAAGACAAAATATTCAGAAAGAAAAAATTGTATTATTTTTCTACTAATTTTTGTGATTTGTTATTTTGATTTTTAAATTTGCAATTACCAATATCACATAAGTAACAAACCTGAACTGTGATCATCGAAATTATTCCAAGATGAAAAAAAACAGATTTATATCTTAAATTTTATTTTTCATTTCAGAAAAATGGGGAACACCTGGGTCCGTGAGTTCCGCGAGGGTCCTGAGATAACTCCTCGGCAGGACTCCGTTCCAACATTTGACCCAATGCTCGGGTTCCCCAATGGTAGAAAACCCAGGGTCATGACCGTCACAGCTGAGGTTAGTACTGTGCACACCGTAAATCTTATACCTTGGATTTTTTTCGCTAGAAATAAAAACCCAGCCCAAAAAAACCCCTAATAAAACCAACTTTAAAAGAACACCACCTTTTATTTTTTGTTTTGTTTATTTAATTATTGCCTTTTCTTCACTCTTAAAGGATACACTCTTAAGATAAGTAAGGACTACTATCATATCTGTATTGATTTTTAGGGAGTTTACAGCACTAAACTTTTCTTAGAAGTTTTCAAAATATGTTACGATAGAACAAGGATAAATGGTTCATTTTCATGTCATTATTTTCTTCATATTGAATAATGTTAAGGAGATGGACGCTGTACAGCTGCAGCCTGGAGAACGAAATTTCTGTGCAGAATATCATATTGCGGTTAGTACATACTGCATAGTTACTAGTTAAAAATACCATCTTGACCAGTGCATAGGATCCATTTCATTTAAATGGGAATCTGTATCCTGGATCCGTAAAAAAATGGTTCCGGATCCAGAAAGGTCTGATTTTTTACAGATTTTTACTTAAGAAGAATTTAAAATTTTTTCCTTCTTTTTTTTAGCTTATTTTTGTGCTAAAACTTGACGAAACGCAATTTTTTATTATTTTTTTTCACTGAATTGGGAATTATAGATGTATTTATACCAAGTATGATAAAGATGAAAAACTTGCCGTTTTTTTATTTTTTCCCCCAGAGGAGCATTAAAAACGGATAAACCCATGTTAAAAATTTCGAGAATTTTCTTTGGTAAGAGATAGTTCCCGAGTCATTTTCCTATGACCAGAAATGCTAAGTGAAACAAAAACAAACAAGATAACTAGATGAAGGCCTTCTTCATTTATGCACCGACTCTTCACTCTGTGTACTTGATAACCTATTATTATCCAGGCAAAGGTTTGTTTCTGGAAGTATCCCTGGTTTATGAATTTTAAATGCTCTCACGAGAAGCACGCCGTGGACGAGTGTCTCAGGGAGGATTACAAGCTTAGAATGATGGTAAGATTATCACAAAAAACCTTATAATGCTACGATATATGTATGTATGTCACACTTTTGGGCGTCTTCCATATGTTTAGAATGATGTGGGCATTCTATATAATTCCTACATATTAAAAAATTATAGTATTACTTTTTGTTTTATTTCCATTTTCTAGAAAAATTTAGAAAATCAATTTGAAGGGACTTTTGAGGTAGTTTTAAGTGACACTTAAGTTGAAGTATCAATACTCCATTGGCGCGGTTTGACTGCTAAAAGATGGTTAGGTTTGACAGGGGCGGATACAGGGCGGGTGGGCGGAGGGACATTCGCCCCCTCTTGAATTTGGAATTTTTTGTTTCTATTTTCAAAATAGCTTCTCAATAGCATGCTCAAGGGAAAGAAACCCTAGTGCAAAACAAGAAAAATATCTGTCTTAAACTATAATGTGTGTAAAGTTAAAAATCTAGAATTTTAGTCTTTAGTCATTAATTTTGACTCTTTTTGAGTCTTTTAAGTCAAAAAAATTTTCCTCTGCGGCGCGATTTTTTGTTCCTAATTATGAATTTCGTTGTTCCTGAAAAATCTACCCCCCCCCCCTCACTTAAATCCTGTATCCGCCGCTGGGTTTGAAGATCTCGTGTAGATTGTACAATGTACACGCCCGGTGGATAACCTTTACTGCTCGCCATTTGCAATGAAATCGTAGTTTTTCTGATGTCCTGAGTCCAAATTTAATTAATTTGAGCCGCGTATCAAATCCACCAAAAATCGGTTTCAATTGAGCGTCGGCTTAAATCTTAAAGCATCGAATACAATTTCAAGTGGAACCAAGCATATTTGAGCCGCGTCTCAAATTTATGCCGCGACTCAAATTCTTTAAATTAGGTCTTTGATAAGATATAAATTCTCTCAATTTCTTTGGTTAAGTTTGCTGCATATTCTGTAAGTCACTTTAATCACAAAAATCAATATAAAGGAATTCATTATTTTGGCTGAGACAGAGGTATTATTGATACACCATTATAAATTGACATCCACAGATCATGAAATAATAAATTATGATGTTATTTTTTGGTGATTGCTTATTTTATTCATTGAAATTAAAGATGTTGTCAGAAAGCATCAAATAAATTTGTTTTCTCTTTAAATTGACGAAATAAATTGTGCAATAACCCCATCTATTGTAGGAATGGGAAAGAGAACGAAGATTGAGAATCCGCCAGAAGAAAATAGACGAACTTGAAGCAGCAGAATCCTTAGATTAAACTTGTAAAAATAAGATGTATATTAATAATTAGTACGAAGAAACTTCAGTACTCATGTAGTCAGGATAGGATCTTTTCAGATTAAGATGTATCGAGGCTTGATCTCTGGTAGGACAGGGTCGTATATCGGATTCGGTTTAGCTCCGGATACCGGAGTTAAGATGAATGGTTTCCGGGTTCGGTTTAATCATTCATCCTCGGCGGATATTCGGAACCAATTTATTCAGTACTTTAAGGGAACAATCAAATTTCACGAGCAAAAAAGCTAAAACAAGAACTGATCAAGAACGCAGTGGAATTTATGTTATATTAAATATGGAGGATTTTTTAAAATGTTTCATGGCAATGACCAGAGCTGAAACTTTTTTGTTGGATACTTAAACCCATGCCCACTGCGGGCACTTAATTTTAGGATCAAATCTCTTCATTTCAGGTATCCTCCCATGATAAAAGCTCCCTTCCACCCCTCGCGTCAGTACGATTGCCTTGCGGGTAAACAATTGAGATCTAGCATTGATCTCGATATCCACACAAGAGTTCCCAGCTTGGAATTTTTGCGCGTTTTAGTTTTAATGTCTTTTAAAGACTTAAAATTAAAATCTTCACTGAAATATTTTATTAAAGGCAAAAAAATACACAACTTGTGGATTAATGAAACTTCGTTCAGCTACCTTGCAATTATTCTTGGAAAAAATTAAGAGACTTTCGAAAGGTTTTGTTTGGGATTTAAGCTAGAAATTGGACTGATTAGGAGAGAGATCACACTTTTATCCGTTCTAGTCCTGTTCTCCCGTACAATGATCCTACTCTTATGTTCGTAAATGCAGGAATGAACCAGTTCAAATCCGTTCTCCAGGTACACCAGGGATAAACATGTTTGTTTAGGGGTTAATTATTTTCAATACAAGGATGTATCTATACATTACAAAATAGTTGTATTATTGAAATAATTGATTAACATTGGAATTAATCGGCAAATGTTTTCGCCGTCATTGTAATTTTAAACTTGATCATTTCTCTTATTCTAATTTTTTTATGTCGAAATTGTAAAAAAAATACAGAATTAATTTTTGAAGTCAATTAGCATTCATGCAACATTTGAATCTAAGACGAATTATTGTCTAAGTCTATCAAAACATTCTGGTTAACGGTCATAATCAGAAAGACAGGGAATTAATTGACAATTAATCAGGCGATTGCAATTTTAAATGCTCAAAAAAGGCAGACCCCACTTTGTAAATGATAGGACTAGGGCTATTTTGTGATAATGGTTTCATCAATAATATTTGTAAAATTATATTGTAAAGTCGTCTGATTAATTTTGATTAATTCCGGGTCTTTCTGATTAGCACTGTAGTAAAGCTTAAGAATTGATAATTCGATTTTTAGAATAAATGCATTCCGCCGGCTGGACGTGCTGTCAACACACAGAAGTGTATTCGAGTGGGAGGAAAACATAACGATCTCTCCGGAGTAGGTAATATACAGGGATCAGAACTAAAGGGAAAATGTTTTATATTCGTTGCCATTGTACGTTAGCATTGCACGTTGCCATTGCTTGTTGGCATATCAGATTATATTTCTAGTCCCGATTATTGACCCATAAACCTGTTTATATACACTGTTTCTGTGGAAAGGTTGGGGAATACCCTTTTTAACGAAAATTTTCTGTTAAACTAGGTTAGTTGTATATATATGAAGTTTAATCAAGCAGTGCACATTAGTAGTCAACGTGGTATAAACCAGATATAAAGTTACAGTGGCCGTATAATCACATTTCTGTATTTGTGAACTTATTTTTAGCGCCTTTTTTAATAATTGGGCTTATATTTTTAATATTTACATCCAGTAATAATTTAAACAATTATGTGGGACTTTGGTGGGTGGGTTTTAAATAAATATTCAATTTTATTAATTTGGGGAGACATTAGGCCTCCTCACCCGGCGGAAGGGGAAGTTAATGGGTTTCATTACAGGGTCCTCTGCAGAATTCATTTCTTATAAGATTTTTCAGGGGTGGATATTTTCTTGACAAATCTTATATTCCACCCTTTAGGAAATTGTATTTTACCCCCCAGATGTAAGGAGTGTGTTTGCGGATCGCAACATTTTCTGAGGGTTTTATTCGCTGAAATGTCCAATTTATCAATTTGTTTTTCTTTAAAATATATATATTCCCCTGAATCATTTTTGTATTTTAGGTAATGATGGATCCCATTTGACTATGTTTGAGATGCTCGGTTCCTGGAGTTTTGGAAACTATTGGAAGCTAGAATCCTGCTCACTAGCCTGGAACCTACTTACTCAACATTACAGGAACATTTCATCTAGATTCTAAACATGTTTTGTTTACAAACGATGAAGCTTCGTTATTTGTTTATATTTTCTTGAAAATAGTTATTTTTCTTCTGATTGATATATCTTTGCGCAACATGTTTTTTGTGCTTTATTTTCTAAATTGGGGCAATTAGATGATTATTTGGGGGTACATACTTTTAGATGAAAAGAATTAAAAAATTTCGTATAAAAATAATTTTGTTCCAGCGGTGGAGGGGGGAGGGGGTGGGATTCTTGACCATATAAATATCCATTGCACTTCGTTACCCTATTTGTAATCTAATCTTTTGAAAACTTTTATTTGATCTTAGCCTGACTAGATCTGAATCATCTTTATTGCATGACAGGTTTGATAAAAACATAAGACTCATTCTATTATGTCTTCAGTCTTCACGTCATTGTAGTTCTTACAACAAATTATAAAGAAAATTAAATCAACTTTTTCTCTGATTATTAAAATTAAGTTTTATTGAAATTAAAGATTAGATCCGCAGCGTCTGTTTGTCACGTACTTTAGTGGATGTGAGAAGTCAGGAGTACCTCCAGATTTAGAGGTAATAGATCGATTAATTGATTCGTTGATTTGATCAGATTTGATATTATTATACCACTTTTCAAATGTTTAAGAGAGGGTAGGGGGATTTTTATACATAAAATCATTCCACTCTTTTTTAAAAATCATTTTTCTCCCTGAAGTTGTATGTTTTGCGGAGCGCAAACAAATTTTTAGGTTTTTAATTCAATTTTGATGGAATTTATCACACCTAATATTTCCCGTTGTAGGGTGATTAAGTGACTTTATCGCCCTATAACAGGGTGAAAAAGTAACTTTTTCACCCTGCTATTAAAATTTCAAATTTCATTCATAACTTGTCTAATTGTAGGGTGATAAAGTTACTTAATCACCCTACAACAGGATGATTAAGTAACTTTATCGACCTGTTTTTTATATAATTTGAGTATAACTAAGAAAAACTATATTTATCATTGAAATGGGTATCATGCGTGCGAAAAAGTTTTTGCTGTGATTTTAAATTTTTCTTGTTAGTTTTCGATCAAAATAAAATCCCAGCAAAAACTTTTTCGCACCTTATAATACCCATTCCAGTGACATAAATAGATATTTTTGGAGGGTAAAAGGTGTCAAGGATGAAAAAACGTGCCTTGCCTTTTGATGTCCCATTTTTCATTTTTTCCTCCTAATCATTATTATTATTTTATTATTATTAAAGGACAACCCATCATTCAATGAAATAGGGGTCGGCGCTCCTAACCGTCGAAACAACGTATCCACGGGGTTTACACCCTAAAATTTAATTCTGAAAATATTCACCCTTGTAACATACACTATTGTAACTTGCATCAATTTAACTGTTTAACGTATGTTTATTCTTACTAACCCCGTGATTAGGTTCGTGAAATATGGCGGAGTCTTGGAGTTCCAGATTCTCATATTCTTCCTTTTGGAATGAAAGAAAACTTTTGGGAGATGGGACTCACAGGGCCTTGTGGACCTTGTACTGAGGTAATAAATGGCTAAGTGGACTTTGTACTTGGTACCTGAGCTGAGTTTAATATTGGTCCTTGTGGACCTTGAACTGAGGTAATTGATGATCCTTGTGGACCTTGTACTTGGGTAATTGATGGTACTTGGGGACCGTGTACTCACATTATTGATGGTCCTTTTGGACCTTGTACTTAGGTAATTGATGGTCCTTGTGGACCTTGTACTGAGGTAAGTGATGGTCCTTGTACTGAGGTAATTATTAGTTCTTGTGGACCTTGTACTTAGGTAATTGATGGTCCTTATGGACCGTGTACTGAGGTAATTGATGGCCCTTGTGGACCTTGTACTTAGGTAATTGATGGTCCTTGCGGACCTTGTACTTAGGTAATTGATGATCCTTGTGGACCTTGTACTTAGGTAATTGATGGTCCTTGTGGACCAAGTACTTAAGTAATTGATGGTCCTTGTGGACCTTGTACTAAGGTAATTGATGGTCCTCGTGGACCTAGTACTTAAGTAATTATGGTCCTTATGGACCTTGTACTCAAGTAATTTATGGTCCTTGTGGACTTTGTACTTAGGTAATTGTTGGTCCTTTTGATATGAGGTCGGGTCTTATTTCTTATGTCTCTTAACTCATGTAATGTATCTTCTGTATATGTTTCAGAGCTGTAAGTTCAAGTTCTAATTGGTTTTCTATGTGGTATTTAAACACTAACCTTTAATCATCAACATATCATGAGATTGCAGAAATGCCAGTCCTTCTAAATCTGAGGTGTAGCGCAGTCAATAAAGAATTGGCTCTGGTTTCTTCAAGGGTTTTACAGTTGGACCCATCAAACTCTAGAATAAGGGGAAGTCATTTAAGCATTATTATGTGCATTTGATGTCGTTTTAAGGCAAAAAGTTTTACCAGTAAATTAAAAATAAATTGATCAAGTTAAAAGGATAAAACTGCATACTTACTGTGTTCCATGCAAATTAGCCTGTTCGAAATTATATTTCAAGTTTTAACAGTCGTTATTCCATGCCATGTTTTATATGAGTCTCATTGTAATTTTTTTTCATATCAGACTACCTTTCTGTAATTATTTTTCGCCAATTCTTGTGTTAAGCCCAATTTTTTTTTCAGGGTATGAAAAATAATTGTAATTATTTACATTAATGTCCATGTCTAATTTTCACTTTTTTTCAAAAAATCCTTTAAAAATATCTCTTTCACTTTTAAAACTTATTTTTTTATAGATTCATTACGATCACGGACTAAAAGGGCCAGATCTTGTGAACCGTGATACTCAAGATAATATTGAAATATGGAACCTAGTATTTATCCAATATGACAGGTAGGAACCGTGATACTCAAGATAATATTGAAATATTGAACCTAGTATTTATCCAATATGACAGGTAGGAACCCTGATACTCAAGATAATATTGAAATATGGAACCTAGTATTTATCCAATATGACGGGTAGGAACCATGATACTCAAGATAATATTGAAATATGGAACCTAGTATTTATCCAATATGACAGGTAGGAACCCTGATACTCAAGATAATATTGAAATATGGAACCTAGTATTTATCCAATATGACGGGTAGGAACCCTGATACTCAAGATAATATTGAAATATGGAACCTAGTATTTATCCAATATGACGGGTAGGAACCATGATACTCAAGATAATATTGAAATATGGAACCATGGAACCTCTTATTTGTTATCCAATATGACAGGTAGGAAACGTAATTATTCAGATAATATTGGAAATATCGTCTCTCCTTCATTGTAACTTTTTTCGGAGAACCACAATTGGAAATATTCAATTTTCAAAGAGATCTCATTAATTCTTGACTAGTAAAAGCTTTTTATTTTACATAAGTGAATTGCCTTGCCATTTAATTAAAATTACTTACACAGTATACAATCTACAGTTACCTGAACCCAGTAGATATAAAATAATACTTGTAGAGGTGTAGACGGGTCCCTCAACCCCCTGGAGATAAAGCATGTGGATACTGGTCTAGGACTAGAAAGACTGGTTGCTCTGCTCAACAATACTACCTCGGCATTCAATACAGATCTTTTCAAACCTATATTTAAATCTATTCAGAGAATCAGGTTATTTTAGTTAATAGTTATCAAGTATTTAATTTTTCAAACTTAATAGTAATATAATTTTATCAGTTTTAATATCCTTAGTGTTGATAAACTGTTCTAATCTCTCTGCTGTCAATTAAGTTAAAGCTTAAAAATGGTAAAAAAAAGGATAAAAAAGAATTTATGAAATGTTTATAGTATAAAATTGAATTAAACGATATTTATTATTCAAGAGCTGAATCCAGATTTATTTTTGGTAAAAAATCGGATCGAGAGGCCGCAAGTTAAAACTTAGTGTCGAGTCTAAATCCGTTTGTCTTCACTCCACTTAGACCGGACTAAGTGAATTTAAACGAAATTTTTCGATTGTTTGTCGCAATTGCAGCTTAGTCTTGAGACTAATATTTTCCGAATATTTAGATACTTAAATTTAATTTGCAATGCTGCATCATGTCTCTTTGATCCGGATCCATTTTTTCTATATCGGATCCAGATAAAAATTAAATGGAACCTATTCTAAATGAAGCACCGCCTATTTTTGAATCATGACCCCTAACAAAAATATATTGTTCTAGTAAATGTCCTGAGTATACTGATAAATATGGACAAGGATCAGAACTTGATACAGGATACAGGATACTTGCTGACCACGCCAGGTACAGGATACAGAATCAACAAGATATTTTTGGATCTTATCAAAAGATTTATTTCAGAATGATAACAGTTTGTTTAGCAGATAAAGTTTTCCCCGACCATAATCATAAACTAAAGGAATTCATATAATTTGGATATTAATTAAAGAAATAAACAGAAAACAACAATTACAAGAAACTTTTTTGGCGACATAAAAAAATCATCAATCAAATGTCAAGTTAAGATTAGTGTTCAATCGAATATTCCAGTTAATAATAGAATTTTTATTCTTTGATATGAGTTTAATATTAAAATGATTTGAATTGTAAAGTTTGTTTTACGACGAGCTTTGAATATCTCCAAGAATACATTTCGAGTGGAAGAAGGAATGCTTCAGGTATCTTAACTTTTAAATTATATTTTTTTTCTTGATCACATCTAATCTGGGATTAATAATTTATTTGATAACACTTTTTGAAGCTTCCTTTGTCTGTAAAAAGAAGACATTTTAATCATGGGTCTAAAGAGCCACATACAGGGTTACCCACTGAGGACTTCAGAGACGACTGTACATAATTTATGCTGACTATTTTCTTATATTCATAATTCCCTGCAACTCTAAATTTCTTTTCTCTTAAAAATTTGAAATACGTAAGATACAAATCACATTCAAGGCAGAGGTGATAGGACTTAATTTAAACTGGGGTTCGTCATATTTACAGATTTTAAGTCGTCGTTAACAGTCTCATTCTTGGTGGGTAGTTTTACAATTGTTTGGGACATGTACTTTTAGGCTGTGGAATGTTAATTCTTTTTAGATAAATAGGCTTTTTCTATTTCAACTTTTAATTGTGGCGTTATCTGTGAGCATCTTCTGTTTGTAATGTATAATACAAAAACAAAAAAAGTTTGCGGATTTCATAATATTTTTTTGCGCATTTTCAAAATTTTACAAAACTAAAAAGATTTTAAATACAAATTTTTAAAAATTAATCATTCATAAACAAGCTTCCCTTGGCCGGGTCACGTGAGGTCCCACACAAAAGTTGGCCCCGATCGGTTCAGCCGTTTTGACGTTTATTGGATACAAACAAACAGACAGACAGATGATGCAAATGAATCCTGACTGTAAACCTTATTTTTAATTCTTTTAGGAACTCTACAATGATGTGGCGGAATCATTAGGAGAAACTTTTCCGGAAATTGTGAAAAATTCGCAAAATATACGGACAGTTTTGGACTTCGAGGAGGAGAGCTTTAAGAAACTTGTGATTAAAAGTGAGAGAAGTTATAAATTGTTACAAAAAGACTATCCCCGTGAATCCGTATTTATCGATCCCACCGAATCCTTGAATTTCTATCAGTGCTTGAACCTGTTGGACAAGTGCGGGATCAAGGAGAAGTTGGAGGCACAGCTCGCCTTCAAGTTCTACGAGCAGCACGGGATGCAGGAGCAGGATATCGTCAAACTGGCCGAGATCAGAAACCTCGAATTCTCTCAGCACGAATTCGATAATTTTTTTGCCAGGACGAAAGAACTTTCGAAAATAAGTTCTTCCCAGGCGGATAATATGAAGATTGTTCATGATCATGGATTGGATAACCGGCTGACGGACGATTCTTTTAAATACGATTATTGTCGCTGTAAGACTGGTGGGTATGAGTTATCTGCTTGTCAAGGACAAGTGTTAAAACTAGTTTCTCAGGGAGTTCAAACCAACATTTTAAATCAAGGTATCAAAGATAGAACTAGACACTGTTTATAAATATATACATTACAAACTTAGAAATTGAATTTTTATTTTGGATTCATGCATTTATAATTATTATCTTTTGAGATGACTGAATGAAAACAATCCTTAAATACTTAATAAAAAAAGCTAAAAAACGTGGACAAATTTTTTTATTCCCCTATTTTTTTGTTTTACAAAAATACTATCCAATGGAGGCCTGTGTGTAAAAGATTTTTTTATCATCGATTAACTTAATTCATGAATCCAGAAAATGTGAAAAATATTAACAAAGTGGAAAAATATGATAAAAGTGATCGAAAACCTTTAACTTCGTTCTGATATTAGAAATGAGATTCTTGTCTTAGGTAGGTGTTTAAAACACCTAGCTGGTATTTGAATCATACTTTTTGGTTAAAACGTAAAAATAAAGCATAGAAAAATGAGGAAAAGTATTTTTTTTTCTACAGTATTATTTTATTTTACTTAAAACCTCCACATGTTAACGAGAACCAGATTTTTGGGAAAATAACAGCCCGTTATATAGTTTAAAGTTTTCATCATATTTGTTTGCATAGGAGCCGAGGGAATCGTATTTCTGGACCGAACTAGTTTCTACGGCGAGGCTGGAGGTCAGGTTGGGGACCGAGGATCCCTGGTAACCGAGGCTGGTGTGTTCGAGGTCACCAATACACAGATGATAAACTCCAACCTCGTGGCTCATATGGGGAGGATGGTTCGAGGCTCTTTAAAAGAAGATGATGTGGCAACATGTGAAGTAGATCAAGATTTTAGATTTAGGTAAATTCCTTTAATAGCAGTGTTACTGTTCGTATAAAAATATTCTTTTCTTACTTATTCAGTCAATGACAAATAAGATGTCAAAAAATAATTTTTTTAAAATGATGAAATTCAATATGTTTATGTTAAGAAAACCTGTAATCCTAATAATATTAAAAAATATATATATTATTATAATTACAATCCTTATTAAGTTTGGTTTTTAATCGAAGTGTGCCATCAGCGATGTACATTGTACAGTGTATTTATATTTTTTGTTTTTATCTATCTGAAATAAAACAAAAATCTCAGCCATGTGCTTGTCTTTGTTGTTAAAAAAAATCTAGACCAGTAAATTTTAAAATAACAATATTTTTATTATAGATACTAGATAAATATTTAGTAGTATTATTGTAAATTTTTAACTGAAATCCCCCTTTAAAGGGACTGAAAACGTTTTATCAAGTGACCCTTTATTGATAGCGTGGCATGTTCGATTCACAACGGTATGAATTATAAATACTTGATATTGATTTTTTAATATTTTCATTTGTTCCCCAGACAGTCCCTTTAAGTTGTTTTTTTTTAAACATTGATATATTTGTAGATGTATGCAGAACCATACTGGTATTCATGTTCTTAACCATGTTCTCCACTCCCTCCTTCCTGTCACCTGTCAGAAATCCAGCCTAGTTACTCCGGGATATTTGAAGTTGGATTTTGCAGTCTTCAATGTAGAAATAGATTCACAGTTTCTCAAGCTCGTTGAGTCCAAGGTGATGAGCATGATCCTTGATAATCTCGAGGTTAGGAGAGAAATCATGGATTCAGAAAGTCTGCTCAAGGTTGAGAATCTAGTTACTCTACCCGGAGAGGTCTATCCTGCCCAAGTGTCTGTGATAAAAGTTCTAGATCAGAGCGAACCTTGCTGTGGAACCCATCTAGCCAATACAGGAGATATTGAGAATTTTGTCATTGTTTCTTGTAAAACCTCAAGCAGCGGCGTTAAGAGTTTACGTGCGCTCACAGGTACAGCGGCAAAGCGTGCTCGTGAGCACGGAGTTAAAGTTTGCGAAGAAATCCTTTCTCTTCAAGAAACCATGGAGCAGAGTTGCGAGGATTTGGTCTTAAACCTCGATCAAATCAAGGCTCAGATTTCAAAATGGAAAACTGAAATTTCTGATTCTCAATTTCCTCTTGTGCTCGCTCAGGAGCTGACTGATATACTAGAAACCTATCAGCAGAGGGTTAAACTCTCGGAGAGATCTTCTTTAAAACAGGAAATATCAGAGCAGATGGAGGTGGCAATCCTGGAGCAGGAATCCAAACCGTTCTTTATCAAGGTGCTGGAGATAACTGGAAAATCTAAATTTTCTCTACAACGTGCCGCGAAGTCGATGAAGAAACCTTGTCTTATCTTCTCATTGGCAGACGGAGAGCTGAAGGGGAAAGCTTTTGTTCCTCAAGATATTGCTTCGGACGATTTTCATGCAAGGTAAGAATATTTAATTTATTTGATAATTTAAACAGTTTTCTAATTGTTTTATTGCTTTGATTCAAAAGTAAAGAAAAAAAGATGCTATGACACTATTTTGTAATATTTGTAAATTCAAGTGTTTTTTTTCTGAATTTCTTTCAAAAATGCATCAATTATCCAATAATTTGTTACCGTCAATCCTATATTTAATGTTTTGCAAGGTAAAATTATTATATCAATGAGTTTAATTAGCCAGTTTACCTTATCTATATAAGACATTCGTAAATAAATATTTTGCCTATAGCCGGCCAAACGGCTGGACCGATTAGGCTATAATATTTTGTGGACACTCATGGGTGGCCCCCTGTGGTAAGGCGAAAAACAATTCGAATTTTTTTTTCAAAATTTAATTATACATTTTTTTTCACCCTTGGTTCTTCAGCTAGTCATACATAAAATTGTAATACTTTCTAATAACAAAACATTCACAGGATACATTCTACTAAAATTCGATAAAAAGGGAAAATATAATATAGAAGATGTCATTTTAATTAGAGAGGGGGATAAGAAAATCACAGGAATAGAAAACGATTTATCAAAAAGGAACCCCTATTGACCTAGATAAAGATGGAGGCTTTTAAAATTTTAATAAATTAAATTAGTTTCTTCTTCTACTTCTTTCTTGGAGAGAGTTTAATAATTTGATACCATGATTCTAATTAAAACCTTTTCAGGGATTGGATGGCGCCTATACTTAAAGAAACAGGTGGAACGGGATCTGCCCCTCGTGGTCAAAATCCGCGATACAATTTCAACATGTCAGCTGTTCAGCTCAAGGATGAACAGGGGTTTCTGTCAGCTTTGAAATCCGCAGAACTTTATGCAGAAGAAAAGTTAGAAAGGGGCCAATAGATTGTTTTTTTTAAAATCAAGTCAGATTTTTTTACAATATGTATAATTAGTATTTCGTTTGTTTTACGTCAGATTCATTCAGATTTCTTGTACTGATCTCGAATATATATTTCAGAAAAAAGTTTGAAGTTTAGATAAGTACACTCTTGAAAATGAGGATTCGGATTGGACGAGCTTTACTCTATGGTTCAGGGTTGGGTTTAGCAGGAGTAGGAGCATACTCTGTGCATAACAGTGGATACGATTCAAACAATTTAGGTAAAAGTATGTTATTTTATGAAATCAACTAGTCCATAAAAATAATCCATCTGAAAGGTGAGTTTGTTGAAGTATGTGCACGTGGGCTTGCGATTTTAAGAACAGTCGAGCTAGGATGCACTCTTGGATTGAAAAAACTTCAATCTTGCCCACCTGCATTTTTCGAAATGTATGATTGTTACTAAACCAAAAAAGTCGTTTAATTTTAGGCTGAGTACCTTGCGTTGCCAATGGGTTATAAAAGAAAATTAAGCTGATTTCACCTCCCCATGGGTTCCTTCTACAATATTCAGCCTATTTGGTCCAGCCGTTTAGCCAGCTTTAACAAAAAATATATATAAATACTTACTTGGGAACCTGATCAAACCTGGAAACTAAACTTTCCATACTAAAGTCTCCTCCTCAACTAACATGTTTAAAATCAATCTAAGAACATTCCCGGGGTGTTACCGAGTTCTCTAATAAAATCTTGAGGCAATTCGGTCAAGGTGTTTTATGAGCGATCATACAAACGGAGATTATAAAAGAAATGAGCGAATATATTTATTTTATAGATTTGAATTTATCTAGGAGTGGTAAGATTTGGACGCGCTGCTGCCTCCGTTGGTAGAATAGGTTGGGACTATCAGAGAACACTTTTCTCTGCAAAATATCCAACTGATGAAGAATATGAAGCTGCAAAGCTGGAGTGCCATCAACGATCTGCAGATAAACTTCTAGATCTATGCTGTGTAAATGGGGGTGTTTTTATAAAGGTAGAAATCATTACAATTTGTATAATCAAGGTTTAAACCATTTTGAATTTATTGCAAGACAGAAATTTTTTTTCATTCATCATTGTTTTTATGATACTTCTTTCTCTGTTATTTTCTTTTTTCTTTTAAAACTGAAACAATCACCGCCCCCCCCCCCAAAAAAAAAAACTGAAAATATTTGTCCCGGATTTGTGGGTTGTTTGAATCAAAGCTGATTCCTGCAAAGTTCAAATCGTTTGATCATTGTTTACGAAATTTATTACTTTTATAAACTTTGTTTACATTAAAACCCAGGATTTGATCTGATCTGTTTCTAGGTTGGTCAACATATAGGAGCCTTAGACTACCTGCTTCCTGATCAGTATGTTCAAACTATGAAAGTATTACACCATGAGGCTCCACAGATGCCTCTAGAGGATATATATCAAGTATTAGAGGCTGAACTCGGTAGGTTAAACCTACATATATACCGGGGTATTCAATTTACTGAAAAATCATTCCAATATAATTAGTCCTCCACAAAATGAAAAAAGTGTTAGAAATTTTAGTACAAGGTAAAAAAAACGGGGTAAAAGTTAAAATTTTCCCCCAACACCTTTGAAAATCGAAACCTCTTTATCCCCATTAGATATTTACCGTATTTGACAAGGAATATCTAGGGTTATATCTAGGAAAGGATCCCCGTAAAATATTTACTATATTTGACAAGGAATATCTAGGTTTATATCGAGGAAAGGATCCCCGTGAGATATTTACTACATTTGACAATGAATATCTAGGTTTATATCTAGAAAAGGATCCCCGTGAGATATTTACTATATTTGACATTGAATATCTAAGTTTATATCTAGGAAAGGATCCCCGTGAGATATTTACCGTATTTGACAAGGAATATCTAGGTTTATATCTATGAAAGGATCCCCGTGAGATATTTACTATATTTGACAAGGAATATCTAGGTTTATATCTAGGAAAGGATCCCCGTGAGATATTCACTATATTTGACAATGAATAGCTAGGTTTATATCTAGGAAAGGATCCCCGTGAGATATTTACTACATTTGACGAGGAACCCCTAGGGTGTGCATCTCTGGCTCAGGTCCACAGAGCAACATTACAAAATGGGAAGGAAGTGGCTGTCAAGGTAATTTTTTATTAAATGGCAGGTTTTAGATACCAATCTTATATTTGTAGGAAGACACAACAAATCCTAGTGCATAGTAGGTGCCACTCACATGAAACCCAATTTAGGGGCCAACGAGGGGAGGAAGGCCAACCACAACAATTTCTCGTCCGAGCCACATTCTCCTCATTTTCTCGTCCGAGCCACCTCGAAATCTCATCCTTTTAAAACTATTTTTTAAGAATCAAGCCACGTTATGGCATAAATGAAATATCAAATTTTTGTAAATCAAAAAAAAAGTTTCAATTGAATTGAAGATTTCAAGTTTAATGTAATTAAAAATGTTCACCTTTTTTCGCGCATTTTCAGATATTCCTGCTGTAAAATGTCGCAAATAATTCGAAGTTTATAGAACTTTAATGATTTTTGTTAACTTAATGAAAACCATAGAATTTTTCCGGGTGGTGCCATGGGGAAAATTATATGCAGAGGTTTGCAGAATATTTTATTTATTTATTTTATATCACGAAGGTTAGCCATTACGGAGGCAGAAGAGATTAAGTTTTACCTAAATAAAGTTTGACATGATTCTCATGGGTTTGAAGATTCCAACATGATATAATCATTGCAATACTTTAGTCCATCCATATTTTATGCCCGAACGCAGCCAGATTAAAAAAAATAGTTTTATCTTCAAGAATTGGAAACTTTTTAACACAAAACAATCGAAGGACGAGGATTCCGAGGTGGCTCGGACGAGAAAATGAGGAGAATGTGGCTCGGACGAGAAATTGTTGTGGGGAGCTTCCTCCCCTCGGCCAACAGAAAAGAAAATAATACAATTGGTTTCGGTCTTCTGTTAGTTCTTCTAGACACTCCCCATCTCTTTCACTAAAAAGTGGACCTTCCTTGGTTGTACGTACGTCATAGGTTAAGAAACATAGTTAGCACGATAGGTTGCCCTTCATCAGAAGGATGGGGGGGTACGGCACGCGTTTAATGCGAAACCATCATGTATTAAATGAGTAATAATAAAATGTATATTGTATAAAGATTTATAGTAATATATATTTATGAAGTTAAAAAAACAATTTTTTTGAATAAAATTTAGATAAGTGTTTATTAATGTTGGTTATTGACTGAATAATGCTGTAGGTTCAGCATAAGTTCGTGAAGAGGCACTCATTTGTCGACATCTACACGATGGAGTTCCTGGTCAAGGCTGTGGAGAAGGTGTTCCCCCAGTTTGAGTTTATGTGGTTGGCGGAGGAGATGAAGAAGAACCTGCCCCTAGAGCTGTCCTTTATACAGGAGGCCAAAAACGCGGAGAAGGTTTCCAGGATGCTCCGAGAGTTCTCTTGGTTGAAGGTTAGTCGGGGTTATTCAAAGAAATATTTTAGGGGTTTAATTTTTTAATATTCTTAACACCCTTACCCTTCCCTCTTCCTTAAAACATAGAAAATTTTCCTTTTTATTACGTTTTAATGCTATGAAAAAAAATATAAGTCCTTTTTGTTTAAGGTTCCTGAGATAGAATGGGATTACACTACTGAGAGAATCCTAGTTATGGAGTACTGTCCGGGCTGCCATGTCAACGATACTAACAAGTAAACAAAATATTTATCCTTAGTCACTGAATTCAGTTAAGCTTGTTAACGATATCTGTCTTGGGTCAGGTCTTTTGGCCTAACATTAAAAAAAAAAAAATTTCGATGCAATTGTTGTGGTTTGGTTACTTGCAGAATCGCCAATCAATTTAATTAATTTAATAATTTTTGGTAACTAATTTGGTTTATTAATAAATTCTTAAGTTGAATGATTGATAGTTTAGTTGGTTGGTTGATTAGTTGTAAATATTTGAATTCTGTTTAGATCATTAGTTGATTATTTGATTTCTTATTAGTTAAATAGTTGATTATTTGATTTCTTATTGGTTTAATAGTTTATTATTTGATTTCTTATTAGTTAAATAGTTGATTATTTGATTTCTTATTAGTTTAATAGTTAATTATTTGATTTCGTATTAGTGTAATAGTTAATTATTTGATTTGTTATTAGTTAAATAGTTGATTATGTGATTTCTTATTAGTTAGTTAGTTGATTATTTGATTTCTTATTAGTTAAATAGTTAATTATGTGATATCTTATTAGTTAAATAGTTGATTATTTGATTTCTTATTAGTTAAATAGTTGATTATTTGATTTCTTATTTGTAAAATAGTTGATTATTTGATATCTTATTAGTTAAATAGTTGATTATTTGATTTCTTATTAGTTAAATAGTTGATTATTTGATTTCTTATTAGTTAAATAGTTGATTATTTTATATCTTATTAGTTGAATAGTTGATTATTTGATTTCTTATTAGTTGAAACGTTCATTTATTAGTTAATTAAACATTTGACTTGATTGATTAATTTATTGATTGATTGATTAATTGATTAATTGATTGATTGGTTGGTTGATTGATTGATTGATTGATTGATTGATTGATCAGACTGAAGGCTGCTGGAATAGATATGCTGGATGTGAGTAAGAAGATTGGAAAGATGTACAGCAAGATGATATTCGAGGAAGGATATGTACACTGTGACCCCCATCCAGGGAATGTGCTTGTACAAAAGAACGAAGCTGGTGTCACTCAGATAGTTCTTCTTGATCATGGTCTATATACTCAACTTACAAGCCAATTCAGGTATATCACTTTTAAAACTTGCCCTATTTCTTTTTCTGCAGAGACAAGAAAACATTCTCTCCCTGAGTTGTTTTTGTAAAGCCAGTACGTTCCGCTAGATGGAAACCGGGGATGTTAAATTTTGAAATTGCAATCAAAGTAAATCCAATCGATCAATGATTTAATTATCCTTCATCATATTCAAAATCGAATTTTGCACGAACATAGAAGAAATAACAATTGTACCACTTAAAGGACATGACCTTTTTTCCTCCCGGGGTGGGTATTTACAGGACATGGCTAAATAAATAAGATTAATCGCCCCCCTCCTCCGAGTATTGTTGATGGAAGAGGAGGGGGGGGGGGGGCATTGTTTGGCACTGACAGTGTACATAGGATTTCATGTTTTCATTAGATTTTAAAAAATTAATGTTTAGATACAACTATGCTGAGTTCTGGCAGGCCATTATTAACCGTGACGTGGAACAGATTAAAACTACTGCTGATACTCTGGGAGTAGGAGAACTCTATGGTCTCTTTGCTTGTATGGTTACTGCTAGGTAAACAAACTCCTTAAGGTGTTATATAATTGAATACAAAAAACATTAAATGAGTTTTCAGCAATTTTTGACACTTCATGCTTTAAAAACTCATTTGGTATGAATTAAGAATTGTTAATTCTTATTTTTTTTTATAATGACAGTGATAGTGTTTTCCCACCTCTTTTCATCTACCTTATATTTTTTGAACCAATTAAGGGAAGAAAAAAATCAAATTTACTAACTGTTATATGCTTTTAGTGTATTTATTTTAGGCTTGTTTTACGTTTAACTTCAAGAAAAGAATCTTATTAAAAAATTATCTTCTCTGTGAGTAACAGAATTCAATGTGAAAAATAAATTATTATTTAATCATTGATTATCTTGTGTTATAGATCCTGGAATACCATTCAGAAAGGATTTGATTATCTTGTATTATAGATCCTGGAATACTATTCAGAAAGGATTTGATTATCCTGTGTTATAGATCCTGGAATACTATTCAGAAAGGATTTGATTATCTTGTGTTATAGATCCTGGAATACTATTCAGAAAGGATTTGATTATCTTGTATTATAGATCCTGGAATACCATTCAGAAAGGATTTGATTATCTTGTGTTAAAGATCCTGGAATACTATTCAGAAAGGATTTGATTATCTTGTGTTATAGATCCTGGAATACTATTCAGAAAGGATTAGAAGTCTCAAAGAAGGACAAATCTGAAACAGACGAAATTAAACAAAACGCTTCAAGGTAAAAAGAACTTTATTCTTAACTAATTTTATTTAAGAAAAACTTGAAAATGTTTGGAAATAATATTACTTATTCTGTGTAAACATTATTGAAAATGATTCAACAATTGAAAGATTTTGAAGAATTCATTTAGTGACTGATTGATTGATTAATGAATTGATTGAATGATTGATTGATTTGACGATTGATTCAACGATTGATTCGACGATTGATTAATTGGTTGAACGTGTTTAGGTACATGCAGGAGATAGCCAACGTTCTTGCGTTCGTGAACCGGCAGATGATCCTGATCTTGAAGACGAATGACCTGCTGAGGAACCTGGAAACCTCCCTGGGGACCAGCAGCAGTATGTCCTCATTCATCCAGATGTCAAGGAGCTGTGTTTCTGTTCTCCAGGTAAGATAAGATAAGAATCCCCCCTCTCAAAGACGACTTTAAGGAATTCATTACTTTCATTTCTGGTTCCTTGAAATAGTAAACTTGGTTTTTCATTTGCCAAATTAATGCGTTTTTATTTTTAAGCTATATTCAAGTCGGAAGAAAAAATTCAACTTTTATTATTATATATATTTTAAGAGTTATGAAAGTCTCATCCTTTGTGAGTAACCAGGGGTCGGAAAACGTCATGTGTGTGTGTCTGTACCAAAAGAGTGTGTGTAAAGTTTACCGAACCCAAGGAGAATTGAATAGAAGGAGGGGCGATTGGGTTTCCGTACACTTTGCTGTGACGTTTTTGGACTGCTGAAGAACTAGTGTTTGCGTAACAACAATAATAAAGATTGTAAACAATAACACAAAAGATAAACAGACATCTGGCGCATCCCCGACGTTAGATGAAGATTCACCGTATACTAACTCATGTATGTTCATTAGATCGGCTGCCTTTGTTATTGTTGTTACGCAAAAACTAGTTCTCCAGCAGTCCAAAAACGTCACAGCAAAGTGTACGGAAACTCAATCGCCCCCTCCTTCTATTCAATTCTCCTTGACCGAACCGAAGGTGTGTACTGTAGGTTTATACAGTACATACGAATCTCGGTATTTGTACAGTCTAGGAAAAGTACATTTGTTTATGTTTAATTGTTTAATATACATTTAGTATATTATTTATATAGTCAACACTATAAGCCAAATTTTCATGCAAAGAATATAATTTGATTAAAGTTCCCAATAAACTAGTCGTTATTCGAGCTTAATTATAATTGACAACATTGTTCTGCAATTTCCTTGACTGTAGTCATGTTGTGTGTCCGTACAAAAAGAGTGTGTATGAAGTTTACCGAACTTGTCTGCAAACCAGTGCGACTGGCTTTCTCATGCCAGACCAGCGCCATTTCCTCTCCCTTTATTTCTATTCCCTGTGAGTAACCCTGTATATTTTACTTAGAAATCATTAAATGAGATTTTCCTGACAAAATTCATAAAACATAAATTTCTTGACCTTTAATTATTTTATTTATTTTGTGCTTCGATATGAGGAGAGAATTAATTCAAAAAGTATGAAAATATCTAGATTCTTACGATTGATATTGACTCGCTTTAAAACCATCAATCATTATAATAAAAAACATTAATTGACTTAAAGGGTAAGAATAAGATTAAGTAGTCTACATTAAAGTTTAAAAATCAGCTAATATTTGTTGTCAGAAATACCTCAAACCCAGGGGTACCCATGACTTTTTTTCAAATATTTCAGCCAATTCGGCCCAGCCGTAGCTAACATATATAATATATATTAGCGAAGAGCTTTATTTTATGGATAATTGTTTATTCTTGTATTCTAGGAGAAGGAGTTGAAGGATGCTAGATCTCGTTACGCCAGGTTCTGCATCCGACTCAGGGCACAGTGGGGGCTCTTTAAGATCTCCTTATACCAGTTCTATTTACAGATATTCTGGTCGAACTTGGGCACTGTTCTTAGGCTCAGATAGTTCAACAAATCAACTTCATCAATTCTCCGTGTGAAAACAATCCTTTCGTTTTCCTCAAACTCTTATTTTAATTCAGTTTCCTCTCCCGATCCATTTAAAGTTGAAACCCTAGAATGATTTCCTTGAACTGCAAAAGACTGATTAATCCATTTCACATTTGATATGCTTTAATGTATCTCAGCCAACTGGGCATCAATGCATGATGGGACTATGATATTTCACGTAGTCGGCCAAATTAGGATTTTTAGCTTTAGAAAAATTTGTATTAATGATAATATTTCTAAATTTTAGTGAATTGTTAGTTTTAAATTCCGTCCTTTTCTCTATATAGTTGTTACAAAGTACGACTCAACTGTATTTTAGCATTTTTAATGTTATTTTTATGTTAATTTAGTTTAAGTGTTGTACACTGTACAGGGTACTATATATAATACCTTAAAATATTTGATGCTCAAAATGTTTAGGTTTAAAAAAATTAACTCAGTGAACTATACCAAGTGATATATTTGCATATATTTAACCTGTTATGTTGTTAAAATTTTAATAATATAATTTATTTTTATACGAATAAATAATATGTTTATTACCTCAGTTTTCTAAATGTTTACAGAAGAAAATGAGTGATTCTGATTCCGATGATTATGGAGAACTTGATTTTGTTTCTGCAGCTTCGACCAACCTTAAATCAGTTTTGAGGAAACCAATTAGCACATCATCAATATCACCATCACTAGGCAGAGATCATTTTCGATTTCATTCTGATCTTATAGAAAGTTTTTTTCCTGATCTTAAAAATCCAAATTTTTAATAAATAAATATTTAATTTATGAAATTGTAAACTCTACTAGACTTATAATAGTAAACAAAATACAAACCCCCCCCCCCCCTCCTTTTCTGTTCTGATAAAGCACATTGTGTTTAATCCACATGATGTAATGGCAACAGTTTCTTATTAAAGCAAAATCTGAAGCTGTAGTTATGCTTCCAAAGAATTGGGAAACACTGGTTGAATTCCCAAAATATGACACGAGGAATGAAATCCCAAATTTGTCAACTCTCCTTTTTTTTATAGATACATATGCATGAATCAAACACTTATATTTTCTTATTTCCTGGGGTATCTTCTTGAATTACCACATTTTCTTCATTTCATCGCTAAAATATATTGAAATTAATTTCCAAACTAAAGTTTTTCTATCTGCGGGAGTGAAAACCTTTTCTGACAAAATGGACAATTTACATTTCATACAATTTTTTTTACCTTTAGTGAGTCTCAGGCATTGACAAATCCCATTAAAGGGCGTATACAGAAATAAATTTATTGGGGGAGGGGGGCGAAATTTGAAATGTAAATTTAAAGCATTTGGCTTCTTGGATATCAGGCATAAGTATAAGATATTTTAAAGGTACACATTCAGTTCAATTACCTTGCATGTCCTATACTTTATCTCTCATTTAAACAAAACTAGCAGAAAAAAGCATTGTTTCCCAAAAATCGACATTTTACTTTACTGTTATGTTAGTAATAATTAGTATTTAAACTAGAGATAGTAAAAGACATTTTTGAAAATGACAAACTTAACTTACACTTAAATTCTATGAGAGGAAAAAAAACAAATATGACTTGTAAAAGTTTTTTGTTTGAAAAAAAGTTGGAGTACAATTGAAATCTATACAAGAAAGCTCTTCGTTCATTAATATGTTTCTATGGCTGGCCAAACGGCTGAATAAAATGGGCTGAATTTTAGTGAGGAAACTCATAAGATACCATTGGGGATGACACAAGCTAAATAAATTAGAAGTTTTTTGTTTTAATTCCACTGGCAACGCCTGGCACTTCAGCTAGTTTGTAATAAAAAGAAAGATTACGAAACGGTGGTGCTATGAATAAAGTAAATTAAATCCAAATTAAAATAGACAAAAAATGGTCTTCTACTACCTCCAAACTCAAGCCTTCTTGGCTTGGCATTTAAAAATATTTGTTTTACTTCGCTATCCCTGATAGCGCCCATCCGATTAGGATGAACGTGCATTCTAAATAGATTTTTCATTCGAACTTCTGCCATGGTGGCTCTGGTCCACGTATACAATCTTCTTAGTGCACTGAATAAACAGCAAACTAATTTTTTTATGTTCTTCACTCTTGAGTTTAAGATTTGAACAGTGAAAGCTCTGAATTCTAGGGGGGGGGGAGGTGCTACGCCCCTTTACAGGTCTAGGGGGGGCACTGCCCCCCCCTCGATATTCGCCCTTGATCCCAACAAAAATTCTTTTAAATGTCTATTGGGAAAAAAAACAAAAGAAAATGCTCACAGATTAAGCCACAATTTAAAGTCGAAATAGAAGATAGGCAGCCTAGTAAATTGATAAGGACACTTTTTGTACACCCAAAAGTTGACTAAAAATATTGCGATGGGGGATGTTAGAAAGAATATATAACTGCTGCCCCCCCCCCTCCCCCTCTAATTTGCTCTTCTAATTTCTTTCTAAAATGCATCTAATGCAGAGATAGAGGCTGAAGACCTAGAATCAAATTGTGATTCTCCTAGCTTGGATGACAGTTCATTCATGGATAACAGTACCACACTCAGCCTGGATGACAGCGTATATGTGAGTGCGGATGACAGCTTGAAAAGGAAGACGGATGAAAGTCCTGCACCTACAAAGAGAAGAGGAAGGAGGTCTGCGGCTGCTCTTGACAAGGAAAATCTCCAAACAAGTCCTATTCCCCCTCCCCCAGGTTAACAAAAACTTGTTATATGTTCTGGGTAACATTTAATTAGCTTAAAGGGAGTGATCTGTAATGTATAGTAGTTTAACTGAGAATGTAGCATTGTGGAGAATTTTTTTAGAAATTATTTGAGACCTATGAGACATTTTAACGGTGCATATTTGTTCATCAAGAGCGCAAATTCAATCTTCAAATCATCATAGATTGTACATTCTTGAGGGATGATTTTGAGAATCGGTTTTTTAAAAATTATTCAATAACGACGACGAAAAATGTAGTAAAAGTTCTACAGTAAACTATCGAGTTATTTAGGAATAGGTTTAGAAACTTAGGTTTAGATAAAATTAACTATTATCATCGAAAATAAGTAATCTTACTTAGTTATTGGTTTCAAACTTTTTCTCTAAATTTCCTCGAATTTTTGTTAAAAAGCCGACATTTAAAGAATTTGAATAACTCTGCGAACAATTTCATTAAGAATAAGAAATTCGATATAATCACCCCCCCCCTCCCCAACCTCCCATCTTTTGTAAATCATTTTTTTGTAGAAGATGGGCAAGTTTTTGTGTGTGCTTTTTTTTAGAATTTTATTGATAATACTTGTTCAAAGGTTCTAATTTAACATTTGAAAACATTTAATTTGCTTGGCGGTCCGCCTCTAAATGAGCAATAAACAATATATTAGAGACAGTGGGCCTATGAAGATTATTTGTGAGGGTGAGAATAATTTCTAAAAAATATTTAAGCAGACGCCTTGAAAAATCATTGTCATTTAATAAAAAGTTTTTGTTTAAATCTGAAATTCTTTATTTCAGCCCCAACCCCTGGTCCGAAACCTCGAGCAGTTCGAGGAGCAAAAAGGACGAAAAAGACCGAACAGGCGCTCAAGATGATCGAAAATAAGAACGCTAAAGCGCGCCTACCTGAGTGCTTTAAGAAAAAACAAAACGGAAAAAATGTAGGAGAATTATCAATCAGTATAGGGGCAGAGGAACAAATTGAAATCGTAGAGGACTCTTTTGAAATCAAGGTACTCTTGAGCCCCCCCCCCCCTCCTCCTAAAAAAATCGAATATATTATTTTGTTAAGGTTAAATGGAAGACAAATGTGATGAGAATTGAGGTTCAAGATGAAGAAAGGTAATTTTTAGAAAATCTATTCCAACAACTTAGGATTATTTTACTATGTATTATATACACTAATGTACTGAAGGTTTGGTGCAGTATGTACAAGTTTACTGCTGAAGTTGTATTATATCATATCTGTTCTGTTCCATAGTAGTAAACCTATCGTGTAATAATTCCCATTATTACACGGTTCAGGAGGAACAATTTTAATATTGTTCGCTTCTTTGCGTTTAAGAATGCTTATTCTTACGTGTAGAATTTTCATTCTTTAACGCTCAGACCGTGTAAGAATGGAAATTATTACACGGTCAGAGCGTGAAAGAATGTATATTCTTACACGCTCCAAGCATTAAAGAATGGAANCATCTGCATGTGCATAATATTACCGATGAACATTCCAAGGATCAAGGTTCAAAGTCTACTTATGATTTCGCATGGTTCACCTGAGTTTCATTTACTCGACGAATGAAGATTTGTGGATAAGGTTTCAGGTAAAAGATTGTAGGATGATGTTGTAGGTGGTAGATTTGTAGGATGGTTGAAGTTATGGAGAACACGCTTAATCTAAGATCTGTATCACTATTATATAACATCAATACATATATTAAAGTTTTTCTTTTTTAGCTCAAGACCCTTATTTTTATCATTGGAAATAATCTTTTAAAAGATGTTTTATAAACCTCGTAAAAGTGGAGACCTGGAGACTTAATCGGGTTATAAATATAATCAACCCATTCTTCGTCTGAAAAAGACGATATATAGTTTTTTAAGTTTAAATTATGCTTCCAAATTAAAATCATTGTTATACAAGCTAAAATCTTTACTTTTTAAATTAAAAACTTTCTTTCTTTTGAATTCTCAATAAGATAAAGAATTTTATATAAAACAGCTCATGATTAACATTTCTCATGGCTTGATAAGATTAAAAGAATATATAGGGTTATATAGTTCAGAACATTGATTCTTTAGTATAAGGATAAATAATCAAGAATTTTAGAAATGCAGGAGAAAGTTAGAATTTTCATGTGTAGTTTCAGTTTCATCTTTCTCCGCTTCAACTTCTTCACATTCATCACAAGGATTCTCCAGGTTTTTCAGAAATCCTGAACATTGAAAGTTTATTAGAATTCTTCAAATTCCACATAAAGCATACTGCCCGACTGCCTACTTTATAAATTTTTTTAATTCATCTTCATTTCAAACCAAGTTTGGTGAGATTTTGCAAATCTCTGCATACTTGTAATAGTATGGTCAGAGCTTTTCAGTCAGTCACAATATCTCGCATAGTTCGAGATGATGAAGTGAAACCACAATCAAAACCAAAAAGAAGTATAAAAACTTATCATTGAAATATTAGTGTCACACTTTTTATGGAGTCTTAGCACTCCATAGCAATGAAAACAAACCAGTAAATCTTGCTTCATGAATAAAAGACAAAGATCTTCATCAGTTTAGGTCAAACTGATTCTTACTAGGTAACCTGCTTTTATCTCCTCTTTTTGGAAGATTTAGGATCTAATATCCAGAAAATGATTTCTTCTATAAATGAAGACACGATATTGTTCTGTAGATTAAGACAACCCACTACTATACCTTCTCTCCATCTAAAAAACTCAGGGCACATTTAACATGCTGTATCTAAATGTAGTATCAACTTAAAAAAAAAACGAGCAAAATCATTGGTAAACAAACAAACTAAACTAAGGAAACAATCACACCACATGCATTACTTTCAAATTAAGAACCAATTTTTACTTCTAAAATGTTTGTTTTTAACATTTTAACATTAGAAAAATAAAAAAACAGTGTTAGTCAGAACAAGAGCATAAAACTTATTTGCAACCTTTCATAATGTGAACTCTTCCAACTTGAAATAGTCGGTTTTCACCAGAATTATTTTTTAATATAATTTCTTGGGTATGTGCCCATGGAACCTCACAAATATGATATAATAATAATCTTATGAGGATAAAAATGTAATAATTGTATTCTTAAACTCGATGAAATAATCTTGATGCATTCTTTAACTCAGGCCTGCGGCCTTCGTTAAAGAATACATCAAGATTATTTCATCTCGTTTAAGAATTTCCATTATTACATTTTTTTCCTCATAAGATTATCATATTATTGTACTGTATTATATACACTAATGTACTCTAGGTTAGGTGCAGTATGGACAAGTTTGCTGTTGAACTAGTATTATTGTACTATGTATTATATTCACTTATGTACTCTATGAACTCTAGGTTAGGTGCAGTAATGGACAGGTTTGCTGCTGAAGTTGTATTATTGTACTATGTATTATATACACTAATGTACTCTATGTACTCGAGGTTTGGTGCAGTATGGACAGGTTTGCTGCTGAACTTGTATTATTGTACTATGTATTATATTCACTTATGTACTCTTTGAACTCCAGGTTAGGTGCGGTAATGGACAGGTTTGCTGCTGAACTTGTATTATTGTACTATGTATTATATACACTAATGTACTCTATGTACTCAAGGTTTGGTGGAGTATGGACAGGTTTGCTGCTGAAGTTGTATTATTTTACTGTATTATATACACTAATGTACTCTAGGTTAGGTGCAGTATGGACAGGTTTGCTGTTGAACTAGTATTATTGTACTTTGTATTATATTCACTTATGAACTCCATGAACTCTAGGTTAGGTGCTGTAATGGACAGGTTTGCTGCTGAAGTTGTATTATTGTACTATTTATTATATACACTAATGTACTCTATGTACTCAAGGTTTGGTGGAGTATGGACAGGTTTGCTGCTGAAGTTGTATTATTGTACTATGTATTATATTCACTTATGTACTCTTTGAACTCCAGGTTAGGTGCGGTAATGGACAGGTTTGCTGCTGAACTTGTATTATTGTATTATGTATTATATACACTAATGTACTCTATGTACTCAAGGTTTGGTGGAGTATGGACAGGTTTGCTGCTGAAGTTGTATTATTGTACTATGTATTATATTCACTTATGTACTCTTTGAACTCCAGGTTAGGTGCGGTAATGGACAGGTTTGCTGCTGAACTTGTATTATTGTACTATGTATTATATACTCTAATGTACTCTAGGTTAGGTGCAGTAATGGACAGGTTTGCTGCTGAAGTTGGTCTATCTGCTGGAGATATTGGATTTCTAAATAGAGATCAAGGAACAGGATTAGATATGAATATCATGATTTTTCACCTTTGAAAAAACGTCCTGAAAAAGACTTAACTTTATCAGTCAGTTCTAGTCTTAACAGATCTTTCGTTTGCAGTTTATGAAGTTAATGGAGTCCAGAAAAATAATATCTCTTTCTTGTTCCCTGCCCCCCCCCCCCCCTCACTGCAAACAGCAAAGATGGAAAAACTAATTGCCGTGCTAATAAATTTGATACAATTAGATTTGATGTTTTGCCATTTTTTTAAATATAGAAACGGCGGGTGGATTTTTGGTATTGTCAATTTGGTAATGACAATTTGGTAATGACAATTTGGTAATGACAATTTGGTAAGGTGACAATTTGGTAACGACAAATTGGTAACGTCATAAAAGTGACAATTTGGTAATGACATTTTGGTAACTACAAAAAAGTGACAATTTGTTGATAAAAGTTAAATTTAATTCAATTTAATGTTTAATAATTTGCTGTTTCTCACATTATTTAGGGTTAGGTTAGGTTAAGACAATTTCTGGGCCGAGCGCTGCGGCTAGGATGGGCTAGGGGGCCGAGCGCTGAGGCCTATTAAAAGTTTAATAATGTGCTGTTTCTCTCATTATTTTGGGTTAGGTTAGGTTAAGACAATTTCTGGGCCGAGCGCTGCGGCTAGGATGGGCTAGGGGGCCGAGCGCTGAGGCCTATTAAAAGTTTAATAATGTGCTGTTTCTCTCATTATTTTGGGTTAGGTTAGGTTAAGACAATTTCTGGGCCGAGCGCTGCGGCTAGGATAGGCTAGGGGTCAAGCACTGCATCCTCTGAAATGTTAAATGTTGATTATAAAATGGACAGTTTGGTAACTACATCTAAAAAGTAACATTAATAACTTCCTAACATTGACATACATAAAGTCCGTTCTTGTTGTAGTATTTAAATCCTTCTGAATTTTGTAACATTTTTCCACCCCTAGAAGGCGTGATGAATAAGTAATTCATTATCCAAGTCTCCTCTTCTTGCAGTATATGACACAAGTGCAGGTTGTAACGTGGTTTTTATAAAATATTGCAAATTTTACAATTATTTTTGGCGCATTTCTTTTGTGCAGAAATAAAAGATTCATAGAATCAATTATCTTCAATTGAATATAAAACTAAATATTAAACAATTTTACATAATGTCACTTTTATTTCGTTTATCAAATTGTCACTTTTATGACGATATCAAATTTTTATTACCAAATTGTCACTTTTTTGTTGTTACCAATTTGTCATTACCAAATTGTCACTTTTGTGAGCTTACCAAATTGGCATTATCAAATTGTCGTTACCAAATTGTCACCTTACCAAATTGTCATTACCAAATTGTCATTACCAAATTGTCATTGCCAAATTGACATTACCAAAAATCCGCCCATCATAGAAACATCGTTATAGTCTTCATACCGTTGAATTAATATCCAGGCAAGAGAGCTTGTGTGTTTTTCTTGCAAATTGTGCTTTCTTGCTGTAAAATGGGAGTGTGCGCAATCATACAGTGTGCAAACGTTTATGGATATTTCGAAAATATCGAATTCTAAAGTAGTTTTCAAATATTTGAAGTTAATATTTATTTTCTGCTATTAGAGCGTTTCTATAAAACATTAAAGATAAGTCCGACATCCTTGATCACTCTGAAGGTTTAGAAGGTACTGTTGTGAATCAGACACGTAGTTCATGCACTTGAAATCACGCCACAGTTCCTACAATGGGAAACAAATTCTAATGTATCCGTGGGCACTAATATAATCTTGAGTATTGAGTAGATGATGGTGGAGATGAGAGTCATGAATCCTGGATACCAAGAGAAACAACTGTATCCAACCTTGGCCTTTCGGTTGTATCCTTCCTAGTAGCCAGGTAGGATACATAGATACAGATTCAGAGTTGTAATAAGTAGAAAACTATTTAGGTTAAGTTGAACCACTTCTTTTATAGGCCGGTTCATGTTCTATATAACTGGTTTAACTTATTCTTAACAGTTCAACATCTCGCTATTCATTACACTTGGTCTAAGTTAGTATCGCCAATGAAAGGTTGTTTGATCGAAGGTATGCTTACAGACAGACTTAAAAAAGTAGATTTTAAGATTTTATTGAGATATTAATTTCTTCTTTATGTTTGAAAATATTTACGATTAAACATTGGATTATTGTTTAAATATCAACTTCTCCCTCTTATATTTCTTGAACCCCTAGACAGTATTTCATTACTTTCATTATTTTTATTATTTTCATTGTTGAATTCTCCCCGCAAACCTCACGAAATCTGACACAATTTATTCTAGAAGACAAAGAGTAGAATGATAATAATATGATTGCAGGGGTTTATATATAAAATCCCCCCCCCCCCCATTTCTTCAAAATGCTCATACTCTCAAATCTGTGTACAATATTTTAAAAGAAAATTTGAGAAAACTTTTATCCCTTTTTTTGAGTTATTATTTTTAATTATTTACATCATTATGTAAGTCATGATGTTCTTGTCAAAGGATAACAATGGGTGGTTAACTACCATGGGAACCATAGATAACTTAACTTAATAAATAACATTGTCGATAGAAAAAGAAATAGATATAAAAGTTTGCGCATCATATTGATAATAAGACGTAAAAGATTGAATGGTACAGATTATGTAGTTATTACCTGTATTTAAAAAAAAATTCCAGTTAAAAACTGCATTTTATAAATAATATGTAAAATTCAAAGTATCCATGATATCTTTCTGGTAATTATTTAAACATTGATGTTAGTGTTGGTCTGCTAGCCTTTTCAAAAACATTTAAAAAAATTTCAAACCGTGATTCATTACAAACTCATCCGTGAGGTGACAATTATGGTATCTGGTTCATTGCAACGTAGGCAAGTTCATTAACCCGTTTTTTTTTCTTTTTTTTTGAATAAAACAACTGACTTAGTCTTTTATTTTATTTGAACGCATTGCATTCAACATTGCAACACCTCTCATAAAATCTGTGTAATATTTGGTTATAACTATGACAATCTTTGTCTGTTTGTTTCTCCGAGCATAACCCAGGAACCCCAGAACCGATTTGCCTCAAATTGTGATTGGGGAACTCGGGAGACCCACGGGAATGTTCTTAGCTTGGTTGGAGACTCAAAGTTGAGTAGGTCGAAATAGCTAAAATCTTAATTTACGCCAAGCACGGGTAAATGGCGGTAGAAATTATGAATACCATTTGCAAAGCTGGGTTCCCAAGCTAGTCTTTAATATTGATGCATGTAGGGCACGGGATTCAGGAAACCAGGCAGATTTGATAGAACTTAAAGTTCAGACGAAGGATAGAAGAGAATCTGTAAATATCAAGGTATGTATATTGTATAAACCTAGGATAGAAGAGAATCTGTAAATATCAAGGTAAAACCCTAGGATAGAAGAGAATCTGTAAATATCAAGGTAAAACCTAAGGATAGAAGAGAATCTACAAATATCAAGGTATGGATAAACCTAGGATAGAAGAGAATCTGTAAATATCAAGGTATAGGTAAACCTAGGATAGAAGAGAATTTGTAAATATCAAGGTATGTATAAACCTATGATAGAAGAGAATCTGTAAATATCAAGGTATGGATAAACCTAGGATAGAAGAGAATCTTTAAATATCAAGGTATGGATAAACCTAGGATAGAAGAGAATCTTTAAATATCAAGGTATGGATAAACCTAGGAAAGAAGAGAATCTGTAAATATCATGGTATTGATACAATTAAAACAGAAATAAAAATGTTGAACTCGGATATTTTTCTGAACTTCTTGACTCCCTATGTCCTAGTTCCTCTAATATTAAATTAGAATCTCACTAGTTCTCACAAGTCCTTCTAATCCAGCTTCAGCCATTAATTATTTTTAATGAGACGTTTATTTGATAATGGGCTAAGGGAACATTTAATTTTATTGTTTCTGTATTTCTCCTAATTACTGTGTTACACCAAATCTTCTTAATCACCTCATAATCACCCCTGATTACACAGAACACTCAAGTATTGTTGAAATCAAACAAATACACTGCAGTTAAACTTATAAAAAATATGAGATGTATGATGTAAAGATCCGGGCTCCGGATCACTTGGATCCGCAATATTTCAATTTCCTGGATCCAGGTACGGATTCACATAAATACGGGGATCCATGGATCCGGGTCCAAAAAGAAAGAACATTGATCACAGAATAAGTTAGGCCAGGAAAATAACAACAACAAAACCGCCATAATTATCTAGGACCAGTGACCGAATTTAAAGAATTTGAGCGGCGGTTTAAATTTAAGCCACGGCTTAAATATGGTTGGTTCCACTTAAAATTGTATCAAATGTTTCAAGATTTAAGCCGGCGCTAAATTTAAACCGGGGTTTGGCGGATTTTGGCGGATTTAAACCGCGGCTAAAATTCTTTAAATTTCATCTCAAGAGATGTTTTATCTCGTTTTTTTCAAAAACAAAGATAACTATTTAAAAATGAGTTATTTGAAGGTGAAGAAGACGGATAAGATGCAGGTTTTGATGAACAAGTTTGCCGAGCTGAAGAAGATACCTTTGGAGAACCTGAGGTTTAAATTCATTTCGATTATTTATTCCCATAATCCGTTGAAAGAATATGTTTCCCTGATTTTTACAATATAATGTAAATATTTTTATGATTTTTAAGAGAATAAGTAACCCTGATATTTGAATGACATTCGATTATTTATTCCCCTGATTAATAAAAAAAATATTTTTTATGATTTTCGAGAGAAAGCCCTTATTCATTTAAAGAATATATTCCCATGAGAATATATGTTCTGATATTTAAAGAAAAAACAATATTTTCATGATTTTTTAAAGCATATATTCTCTTGATTTTAATGGTGCAAAAATTTCCTTAATTTCATAGATTTTACGTCAAAAAAATATGTTCCACCGATTTTTATATTTTACTTCGACAGAATATATTCCCCCGATTTTCTAGTTTTTAATGTGAGAAAATATATTATCCTGATTTTTTTTAGATTTTCATTCGAGAGGATATATTTCCCTGATATTCTAGATTTTAATTCGAGTGAATATATTCCCCTGTTTTTCTAGATTTTTCTTCGATGGTGAGGAGTTGGAAGCTTCAGAAACAGCTGAAACCTTGGATCTCGAGGGAGGAGAGTGTATTGATGTTCATTCAACATAAATCCGCCATCTTTAATAATTTATCAGCAGAAGAATTTCAACTTGTCGACCGTGTAAACTCGTATTGGGTACCTGATGTAAACATTTTGTTGAAATAATCATTGAAAACAAGTCGATGGAGTTTATGAACGTTTTAAACATTCATAGGAAGAAAGAAAACCTCCAATTCCCGTATTTTACCCTGAAACCTAACTTTTCAAAATATTTCTATTTTTGTGCCAAATCTTATGAAATTTAGTAAGATTATTTAAACCGGGCAATACGTCACACAAATTATCTGTAATAACCAATCTTCCTGAAGTTTTAGCCCATTATAAAAATTCTAGTGAAACTATTGAGAGAAAATGTCCACCCTGCATTTAAATCCTTCCATGTAACTGTAAAATATATAGATATATATTTTTTTATTAAGATCTAGTTGAAGTATGTAATGATCTAGTTGAAGTATGTAATATGTTTCTATTTACTGGGCCACGATATTCTAATTCATTTTGACAGATTATAATACAATCAAAATTTTTTTAATTTTTTTCAGATTAATTCGTATATTATTTCATGTTTAGAGGAAATGTTATTTATTGATGCAATGAAGGGAGTAACAGATTCTGAAGCCCTGGTGATTTTGCTCATAGAAAGCTTTTAAATAAATTTATTTCGTGAAACTGAAATAACACCGTTATCCTAGTTATTTAAGTGATAAAGGGGTTTGAATCTGTTTCCATAAAATCCAAACTCGACAGAATGAGAGCCTCAAATTTATGAAATTGTGGATGAAACATTTCTCTTTAAAATGCCGTGTTAACCTTCAAAATTAGGCATAATATTTGAAAATATGCTCGGACCCATTTTCAAAGATATAGATTGTGTTTTCACCCACTAAACGTTTTTTTTTTTTTCTACTACAATGTATGAAGTATGCCTAGTAGATATAATGTCAATAAATTGGAGGGTCGGCGTAAAAAGATTTTAATCTAAAATGGCGTTCTAGCCTTCAAAATATACTCGGTCCTGTTTCCAAAGATTTTCAAAAAGAAATCTTTTTTTCTCGTCTTTTTGTTTTAAAATCCTCAATTCTATCATTAAAATGTGTAATTTATTCTTTTCTGTCGTACAAAATCATAATTTGAATTTTTCTGAAATTTTTTGAAAAGTATTTAATCAACGACCCCCCATTTGTGGACATTTCCCTACAAAAAGCGTTCTCTAGGACAGACCCAAGTGATGTTAAGAATGTGTCAAATTTTTAGATTTAAACGATGGATCAATTAAGGAAAATTGGCCACATACTCAAATAAACTAAATTACAGTGTTTGTTATTATTGAAGAAGCTTGCGCTTTTCCGCATAGCCTTAGCTGCGTAGAAACGAAGTCCGCGCCAGGTTTTGTCGTTTTTGAGACGCCACTCAAATTCATTAAATTCGGACTGTGTTCTGTTAAATCATCATGAAAAGGAAGAAATTTAAATATTTTCTATTTCCTAGCAGTGCAGTGAGAAAATATTCTTGAATAACAAGTTGAGAGGAAAATGGTGTCAAGAAATTGTGTATTTTATCACCGGGGATTAGTCTTGCAAATACAAGAGGAAAATTTGCATGTAATATGCAAATAAAGGGAAAATCTTCGCAACACGTTTATTCATTGTTATACAGCGTTATTCAACGTCTGAATTTAGGTTAGTAATTGTAACCTTGTATTCCGGGTCTGTAAATTAAACGATTTTAGATTTTTAAATGTTAAAAATTGCACTAAAAGATAAGGCTCCAAAGACACATTTGAGTAAAAGTTTAATTCATTTCTTTTGTGCTACCGAGACCCTTTTCAGCTTTATAAACAGCTAGGTTGAGAACCCAGATTTGCATCTAACCTATTTTTTCTCTTTAAAAGTACTAACTGAACCTAGAATTTTAGAACAAGTTACAAACATTTCCATTGCTATACCTGGTTCCCCAATCAAAATTTGAGGTAAATCAGGGTTCCTGAGTTATGATCGGACATACAAATAGACATTAGTTATATAGATGTATAGAATAACTGGGATTGAAACTAGCTTCCCTCTTGGTAAGCAGTGAATTCGAATTTAAAACGAATTATCGTTTATCTCTGTCACTGTTGGATGACCCAATTAAACTTCTTATGGTAATGAGTAAGTCGTCATTGAAGCAAATATTTTTTTGTATCATGTGTTTTTACTGTATATATTTATATCTTCAGATTCTTAAAACTGGTTTCTTATCGCAAAACACAGTCGCAGTAAATCAAAGTTTTATTAAACAATATTTCAGCAGCAAGTACATGAAGCGAAAAAGCAAATGATTCAGAAGAAAATAGACTTTTCTTTAGGAAATGTTCGGATCGTTTAGATAATGTTTGAAGCAGTTTGTCCACAGAAAACTGGGGGTTTAACACTAGAAATATAGATTTTATTACACTAGGAATAAAAGGTTTTAAACATTGGGAATACAGGGTTAATAATACTAGGAATACAGGGTTTATAACATTAGGAATACTGGGTTTATAATACTAGGAATACACGGTTTATATTACTAGGAATACAGGGTTTATAACACTAGGAATACAGGGTTTGTAACACTAGGAATACAGGGTTTGTAACACTAGGAATAAAGGGTTTATAGCACTAGGAATATTGGGTTTATAACACTAGGAATACAGGGTTTATAGCAGTAAGAATATAGTGTTTATACCACTAGGAATACAAGGTTTATAGCACTAGGAATATTGGGTGTATATCACTAGGAATATTGGGTTTATAGCACTAGGAATATTGTGTGTATATCACTAGGAATACAATGTTTATAGCACTAGGAATATTGGGTGTATATCACTAGGAATAATGGGTTTATAGCACTAGGAATATTGGGTGTATATCACTAGGAATAATGGGTTTATAGCACTAGGAATATTGGGTGTATATCACTAGGAATACAGGGTTTAAAGCACTAGGAATATTGGGTGTATATGACTAGGAATACAGGGTTTATGGCACTAGGAATATTGGGTGTATATCACTAGAAATACAGGGTTTATAGCACTAGGAATATTGGGTGTATATCACTAGGAATACAAAATTTATAGCACTAGGAATATTGGGTGTATATCACTAGGAATACAGGGTTTATAGCACTAGGAATAACTAAATATTTCCCGACTTCTAAGAATTTAAGGAGGGGAAAATGCGTTCTTTGTTCTTCGTAATGAAAACTAAAATACAAATTTCAGGCCAACAAAGGAATAATGAACAAATATCTATTTATATAACAGTGTTATTTTGTCGGACAGTACTATATAATGTTGTCGTTCGAAATTTTACCCGTTTAGAATAACAAAAAATAATGAAAATATTTACTCTTTAAATCATATTTTTTTTACTTCTTTTAATTTTAATTTTTCTCAGTCAATGAATGGCTCGTGTGTGATGAGATTAAACAATTTCCATTTTACTTTTGTAATTTACAGTTTGTATATTCTACACTGCTCTGTACTCTAATATTCAAACCGCTCTATGCTCTAAATTCTACCATCTACTACACTACTCTAAGACGATATATAATTCAAACTGTTCAGTCTATATTCTATATTCTACACTATTCACTCTGCACTCTTTAATTCAAACTGTTCAGTCTATGTTCTATATTCTACACTACACTCTGCGAGGGAGGGGGTGCAGAGGCGCCATGATCCCCGCAAAAATGACCTCCGAGCCTCAGGATTTGCAGAATTACCTCCAGGCCCCGCAAAACTGGTCTCCCAGCCTCAGTGACGTCACCAAGCCTACCGCCATTCTGTCTCCACAATTCTACAATTCAAACTGTTCAGTCTATGTTCTATATTCTACACTACACTCTGCACTCTACAATTCGAACTGTTCAGTCTATGTTCTATATTCTACACTACACTCTGCACTCTACAATTCAAACTGTTCAGTCTATGTTCTATATTCTACACTATACTCTGCACTCTTTAATTCAAACTGTTCAGTCTATGTTCTATATTCTACACTATACTCTGCACTCTTTAATTCAAACTGTTCAGTCTATGTTCTATATTCTACACTATACTCTGCACTCATTAATTCAAACTGTTCAGTCTATGTTCTATATTCTACACTATACTCTGCACTCTACAATTCAAACTGTTCAGTCTATGTTCTATATTATACACTATACTCTGCACTCTACAATTCAAACTGTTCAGTCTATGTTCTATATTCTACACTATACTCTGCACTCTACAATTAAAACTGTTCAGTCTATGTTCTATATTCTACACTATACTCTGCACTCTACAATTCAAACTGTTCAGTCTATGTTCTATATTCTACACTATACTCTGCACTCATTAATTCAAACTGTTCAGTCTATGTTCTATATTCTACATTACACTCTGCACTCTTTAATTCAAACTGTTCAGTCTATGTTCTATATTATACACTACACTCTGCACTCTACAATTCAAACTGTTCAGTCTATGCTCTATATTATACACTATACTCTGCACTCTACAATTCAAACTGTTCAGTCTATGTTCTATATTCTACACTATACTCTGCACTCTGCAATCTTCACTATACAATCAACACTTTATAATTTGTTCTCAAAAATACACTCTACAATTTACATCTTAAACTCTTCATTCTACATTTAACAATCTACGCTCTTTAATCTACACTCTACACTCTTCAGTCAACACTTTACTACTCTTCATAATTTCTGAGCTAACTTCGGGAATCTAATTCTTTATTCAAAATAGAACAAAGACCAAAAAATAAATACTGTTAAGCATACTGTAAAGATTTTCTTGTGTTAACTGAAATTAATTTCTTTAAAATTATGCAAGTTTCTAGGGGACCGTCTTGGATGATAATTTACATGTCAGGGGGAAAAGTCGCAAAATAAGATTTGTCGCAAAGATGACATAAATAGTGACTGATGGCAAATAGTTTTCCTTTCACTGTAAACACAATTAGGAGATACCCTGTCTTAAATTTGTAATTAACAGATTTGATTAAGTTTTGTCAATACTCAATCTCTTTCTGAATCAGAATATAATTGAACAAAGAAGTGTTATCTTTTGATAAAAACTCATTAAAGTAACTGTAAGCGTAATTTCAAGTCACTCTCCAAGCAAAGATGACAATGCCTGATTTAAAACTGTATCCTTGAAATAAATTAGATAAGAGTGTTTTTTTAAACTGTTTATTTTTAATTGTGGTTTCTCTGCAAAAGTGACTTGCACATTTCTTTCATGTAAGAAACTAAGAAGAAATAATTAGAATTAACAATTTTTCAAGTCAGAAAAGCGACTTAATCTTCCACATTTTTGATCCGATTTAACCAATTCCTAAATATTAACCGTATATTTTAATATCTAGTTGATTCACTCTACGCTAAACTTGGGATACCCAATCAAACTTTTCTTCAGCGTTGTTAAGAAAGTTAAGTTAAGAAAATTGTTGTGTCAAATGCTTTTCTCAAGTTTAAACTTGAGTATTACTATGAGCTATCTCTTGAA